CTGAAGAGAAGTTGCAGAGATTGATGGATGAGTTTGGTATGGTATGTAAAAGAAGAAAATTGAAAGTGAATATAGGAAGCAATGGAAGCAATGAGGGGAATGTTGGAGAGTACAGTGATATCAACGCTCTTATATGGGTGAATGTTGCAACAAGGAGAAGGCTGGAGGCAGTGGAGATGTTGTGTCTGAGGACAATGTGTGGTGTGAACATAATCCAGAGAATTCATAGTTTGGAAAATAGGAGAAGGTGTGGGATTACCAAAACTATTATCCAGAGGGCTGAGGAGGGGTTGATGAGGTGGTTCAGATGTTTAGAGAGGATGAAACAAAATAGAATGACTTTGAGTGTATAAATCTTTAGTGGAGGAAAGGCAGGGTAGAGGTCAACCTAGGAAAGGTTGGAGGGAGGGGGTAAAGGAGGTTTTGTGTACAAGGGGCTTGGACTTCCAGTAAGAATGTGTGAGCGTGTTAGATAGGAGCGAATGGAGACAAATGGTTTTTAGGACTTGACGTGCCATTGGAGTGTTAGCAGGGTAATGTTTATGAAGGGATTCTGGGAAACCAGCAGGCAGCACTTGAGTCCTGGAGATGGGAAGTACAGTGCCTGCACTCTGAAGGAGGGGTGCTAATACTGCAGTTTTATAACTGTAGTGTAAGTGCACCTTTGGCAAGACAGTGATGGAGTGAATGATGGTGAAAGTTTTTTCTTTTTTGGTCCACCCTACCTTGGTAGGAAACTGCTGATATGTTAATAAAATAAATAATGAAATAAAAGATTAGTAATAATAATCTTTATTTCTATTAGTACATGTACAAGGTATACAGGCCATGACCATAGCTGACAGCAATGACATACTTCTATATAGAAAGCCCCTTGTTATGCTGAGTATTCTGGGCAAATTAGGTCAATTTTGTCCCCAGGATGCAACCCACACCAGTCGACTAATATCCAGGTACCTATTTTACTACTAGGTGAACAGGGACAGTAAGTATAAGGAGACATGCCTAATGTTTCCACCTGTCTCACAAAATTGCAGTGACATGATTGCAAACAAACCATACCACAGGTGGAGCTTGAACCCACAGTCAGAGAGTCATAAAACTCCAGACCGACACATTATCCACTGGGTCAGCTCGCCCAGTGGATAACGCATCGGTCTGGAGTTTTATGACTCTCTGACTGTAGGTTCAAACCCCACCCGTGGTATGGATTTTTTCCACCTGTACCGGGCACTGAACCACGGACCTCAGTGTGTAAGCTGAGTGAGAGACCAACCCAGATATGAGACCTACGTCTCCTACCAATATTACAAGTACACATATTACACATAGTTTCTTTGATTCAGTAAACACAAAACCAGGAACTTGATACACAGACCTTTTCAAATACCTTGATTTTCCCATATTTTCATATTTTTAAATTTTTATTGCAGTTTCAGAAATTTTAATACAGAAAGCTCTTTTATAGAGAGATGTTTTTTAAATGTAACTGAAAAACTGGATACAAAATTGAATAACGTAATTCCTCCTTTGTAAGTCATATGTGTCGTAAGAGGCAATTAAAATGCTTGCAGCAACGTGCTAGTAACCCCTTTTCCTGTATACATTACTAGATGCTGGAAGCAAGGGGATAGTAACCCGTTCTCCTGTATAAATTATTAAATTTAAAAAGAAAAGCTTTTGTTGTTCTTTTTAGGTCACCCGGCCTTGGTGGGAGATAGCCAGTTTATTGAAAAAAAATGAGTAATGCAATATCAGAGGAACTTTTTCAATTGCAATCATAAAAGCTACATTATTTTTGTATCACAAAAAGAAATACAATTTTTAATATGACTATCACACAGGGTGTAAAGACTGGCAGGATCAACAGTGATCACACTTTCAGTCACATTAATAGTGTACAATCAGCTTCATAATTAAAATTAAAGTTGAACACATCAGTTTTTTGGGGTAATGTTATTTGCAAGTTTATTAGAACATGCATTTGTCTTGCATTTGATGAAAACAACGGAGACAAAAATATATTCCAAAAATATTACTTTGTGATCAATTTGTACAAAGTAATATTGTTATTTGTTATGTGCAACATCAAGATTATTATTCTTATAAACGTTCAATTTTGACTAACTCGCACTAGTATTAAGGTAAAATAATAAATAATAAAAAAGATAACCGCTCTTATCCTGTCTAGACTTCAGTAGTTTTAAAGTATTAGGATTAGTCTGTCCGAAACTGCAATTACACACTGAAAAATTTTCTAAGAAATAAAATCTTTATCTTTATTTTTAAAGCAAATATGAACTCACCACACATACATAAAATGGCCATTAACAAAAAAAAAAAATCAATGCATCTGATAAATGTTGAGTGGGTTTAGAGCTTATTTTTTATTATAAATAATAATAATAATAATAATAATAATAATAATAATAATAATAATAATAATAATAATAATAATAATAAATGTAGAAAAAAGGATAATTTACGAAATACCTCGACCCACCTTGGCTGCACCGGCGGGTGTGTGATTTTTCTCGATAGATGTGAGCTGCTTCTCTCTCTTAAGGATGTCGCTCACCACTACATTCTTGAAAATATATGACAGTGTGATTATGCTGTAATTTTATTTGTTAAACGTTGCTGCATATGACAAAAAACTTCACAGACTGTGAATGATATTGGATAACTTGGGAAAATCCGGTCTCTCTCTCTTAGAAACGAATGGATATAAATGTATATTTTTTTAACACATCAGCCATGTCCCACTGGGGCAGGGTGACCTGGAGGAATATATGTAACTGTATATACAGTTTTCCTTGATTACTATTGGACATATGGTTAATATCATTCCAGATATACATTAGGGACCGACGTGTACTATATGTGTTTTATTGCATGCCAAGGAACATGCAAGGAGCTTACCTAGACACTACTGAAAGACTTCAAGGAACTGGGCCTACCCTATCTTTCCTCAATAATGATGATGCTTTATTTCTTTGAGCCTCACAAATAATGTAGATATTACATGGGTGCATGAATAAAATGGTAAGCACAAAAGAAACCTATTAATTATGCAATGTATTTCAAGTAACAAATATGATTATCTTCAACTCCTCAAGTGCTGTATTGCCTTTATGGGGTTCAGTATTTCCCATTAATACAGTGTAACAATAATAATTATATCGGTCGGGTCACCATATGGAGAAGACCCGGGCCGGAAGTACCGGCAAACCTCTAATGAATGAATGAATCAGAAATATAGTATTATCATGAGCAATTTATTTATTTATTTATTTATTTTATGTCTTTGTAAACAGTACATTGAGATTTTGTATTTACAATAGTGGGTTGCAATACAAAGAGAGCCACTATTATGCCTAGGCATTATGGGCCAACTTAACATTATTGGCTTACAGTCTACTTAACACTAAGGAGTATATCAAAGCTGTACATTAGGATAGTAAATAACAAAAAAGGCACAATACCGTGAGTGTGACTTTGTCAATGGTCCAAGTCGGACCGAAACGTCGTCGTAAGCTTCTCTCTTTTATGTGCGGGTTATTTGTGCATTAGGATAGTAATTATTTCATAGTTGTACAATAGAATATTAATTATAAATGAATAAAAATTTGTATAATACAAAGATATATAGTACAGTGGACCCCCGCATAACGATGGCATCACATAGCGATTTTTCCGCATACCGATTACTTTTATCGCAAAATTTTTGCCGCGCATACCGATTAAAAACCCGCTCACCGATTTTCGTCCGAGACGCGTCCAATGTGCCCTCAGCCAGCCTCACATGTGCCGCCCGTCCCATTGTTTACCAGCCAGCCTCCGCGGTAACATCCAAGCATACACTCGGAATATTTCGTATTATTACAGTATTTTCGGTGCGTGCTGTTTCTGGAAAATAAGTGACCATGGGCCCCAAGAAAGCTTCTAGTGCCAACCCTAAAACCTCAAAGGGTAAGAATTTAAACTAAGAAATGAAGAAAGAGATAATTGATAAGTAATGAAAGTGGAGTGCGTATAGCCGACCTAGTCAAGCTGTACAAGAAACCCCAATCAACCATCGCTACTATGTGGGCACCAGAAAGACAATCAAGGAAGCTGTTTTGCCAAAGGTTCAACTGTGTTTTCGAAACAAATCGAAAAGTGTTTGGAAGATGTTGAGAGACTCTTATTGGTGTGGATAAATGAAAAACAGCTAGCAGGAGATAGAAACTCTCAAGCGATCATATGTGAAAAGGCTAGGAAGTTGCATGAGGATTTAATTAAAAAAATGCCTGCAACTAGTGATGATGTGAGTGAATTTAAGGCCAGCAAAGGTTGGTTTGAGAGATTAAGAAGCGTAGTGGCATCCATAGTGTGATAAGGCATGGTGAGGCTGCCAGTTTTGGACCAAAAAGCGCTGAAAAAAATGTGCAGGAATTCAAGGAGTACATAGAAACTGAAGGACGAAACCTGAACAAGTGTTTAATTGTGATGAAAAAAGGCCTGTCTGGAAAAAAATGCCAAGCAGGACCTACATTATCAGGAGGAAAAGGCACTCCCAGGACATAAGCCTATGAAAGACAGGTTTAAACTCTTCTCATTGTGTGCCAATGCTACTGGTGATTGCAAAGTGAAGCCTTTATTAGTGTATCACTCTGAAACTCCCCAGAGCGTTCAGGCAAAAGAATGTCCTCAAGGATAATTTGTGTGTGCTGTGGAGGGCAAAAAAGTAAGGCATGGTCACTAGGGAATTTTTCTATAACTGGTTACACCATGCATTTGCCCCCAATGTGAAAAATTTCCTAAATGAAAAGAAATTAAACTTAAGTGCCTCCTGGGGTTAGACAATGCCCCTGGGCATCCTACAGACGTGGGAGAGCGACTTTATGGGGGCATGAGCTTCCCTTAAGGTGAAGTTTTTGCCTCCTAATACCACTCCTCTCCTGCAGCCCATGGACCAGCAGGTTATTTCCAACTTCAAGAAACTGTACACAAAGCTCTGTTGAAAGGTGCTTTGTAATGACCTCAGAAACCCCAAAATGACTCTAAGAGAGTTTTGGAGAGATCACTTTAATATCCTCAATTGTAAACCTTATAGGTAAGGCTTGGGAGGAAGTGACTAAGAGGACCTTGAACTTGCTTGGAAGAAACTGTGGCCAGAATGTTAGACAAAAGGGATTTTTTAAGGGTTTGAGGCTAACCCTGAGAATCCGTGCCAGTTTTAGGAATCCATTGTGGCATTGGAAAGTCCTTGGGGTTGGAGGTTAGGGGGAGGATGTGGAAGAGTTGGTGGAGGAGGACAATGAAAACTAACCACTGATGAGCTGATAGATCAACTTTAAGAGCAAGAGGCCAGACCTGGGGAAACTGGTTCAGAGGAGGGGAGAGAGAAATTGAAGAAATTGCCTACAAAAAAGATAAAGGAAATCTGTGCAAAGTGGCTTGAAGTGCAAACCTTCATGGATGAAAATCACCCTCAACACAGCTATTGCAAGCCGTGCTGGTGATTATTACACGACAATGTTGTGAAAACACTTTAGGCAAGTCATAAAGGAACGAGAGGTTACAGGCCACTATGGACAGATATCTTGTGCGAAAGAAGTCCAGTGACTCTGAAGCTGGCCCCTAGTGGCATTAAAAAAAAAAGGAAGTAACCCCAGAAAAGGACTTACTACCTCAAGTCCTAAGGGAAAGGGGGATTCCCCTTCTAAACAGTAAGAAGATAATGCTCTCCCCCTCCCCCCCATCCCATCAATCATCACCAAGATTTTCAATAAAAGTAAGTGTCATGTAATTGTGCATGCCTTTTTCAGTTTGTGTGTATTAAAATTAACATTTCATGTGGTAAAAAAATTTTTTTTTCATACTTTTGGGCGTCTTGCACGGATTAATTTTATTTCCATTATTTCTTATGGGGAAAATTCATTCACATAACGATTATTTCGCATAACAATTATCCCTCTTGCACGGATTAAAATCGTTAACCGGGGGTCCACTGTATTCGAAAATGCTTTTTGTCAAAACAATGATTCAATTATATTCCTGTCAACAATGGATAAAAGGTTCAAAGTGATTGTTTCAGTTATGATGTGGGAGTATATAGGTGAGTAAGTGTGTACTGAGTATTTAGCATTTAGTCTAGGGTGATTAAGTGGCTTTTGAGAAGAGTCTTAAATTGATTTTCAGACTGGGTTACTTTAATATCTTCTGGTAATGAATTCCATATTTTGGGGCCCTTTATGTGCACAGAGTTTCTACACAGTGTGATATGGACACCAGGTATATCAAAAAGAGATCTGTGTCTTGTGTTGTGGTCATGTGTCCTGTTTAGGTTGGTGAGAAGTCTGAGTGGGGGGGTTTATATTTGCGTGTATTGTTCTGTGTATGTAGTAGGCACATGAATAAGTATGGATTTCCCTTCTCAAAAATTTTTAAACACTATGACTTCTTCGAGTTTAGTTCATAGGTGATTAAATTCTTACTACTGTTATAATTATTATTATTATTATTATCATCATTATTATTATTACTGTATTATTAAAAAGTTGTGGATGAGTACATTTGAACCATATTTATCAGTATTTCCAAGTGACACACAAAAAATCACTTATACAACACTTCTTACCCATCTCTCTGACAGTAGGACCTTTACTGTATATCTGACACCAACTTATCTCATAAACCATGACAGCATCTTTCCAGCTGACACCCTTCTCTCAAAACCCTATCTCTCACCTCTATCATTCACTGCTGTATGACCTTTCCCTGTTGACCTCTTTCCACAGACATAACAACAATTATCAAAAACCTGGGTTTGCATTTGCTAAGTACAAAATTTAAATCTACACTATGCTTTAAAATATCCTATATTGACTCTTAAGCTGAGCTCTAAACAGATTATAAATAATTATATTAATTATACAAAAATCTCACATTAATAGCCAATATGGTGGTGTATTGGTCCCTTAATGCACCTTAGGCCATTATTTTGGATGCTACAGGTCAAAAATTACTGAAAATATAAAACACACACAAACTTAAAGCAATTTTCTAAGAATGCTTTTGAGTTATTGGCCAAAAAACTAATATGTACCTCATAAAAATAAGTTTTGAAAACTTGAAAACTATCTATGAGGTTTTAAAAGAAAAACATATACGTATATGTAATTCAATATTACTCTAAATACATTACTTACATGCAAGGTTACAAGTGATTATTTTAAACGAATTTAGAGAAACATATAAGAAGTTGAGTATGTAATGAGTTTAGTGTAGTTCCCCTTAACTCACTGTCACACTGAGAACAAAATACCAGAAAACTTGAATATTGAAATACTAAATGAAAAGTGCAAATTAAAAAATTAACTATACATATGAGTTGAAATTTGTAAGTTATATTTATGTTTATTGTTGTTGTTGTTAGTTTTATAGGGATAAAAACTGTGACACAGGTCACTGTCACAGGATGACCTGTGATAGTCTCTATGATGAAGGTGCGAGATGGTGTGTCCGAGGACACGGGAAGGTGGGAGACAATGGTCTTATGGTGCCACAGCAGTAGTGATTGCTGGCTTACTTGTGCTGATCTGAATAATAATAATAATAATAATAATAATAATAATAATAATAATAATAATAATAATAATAATAATAATAATAATAAAATAATAATAATGTTTATTTCAGCTTGACACAATGTTTGTACAAAGATGAATGACATTTAGGTGTGCATGCAAAAAGCCCCTTAATATGCAGAGCATTTAAGAGCCTAATTTAAGATTACAATGGCAATAACTAATTAATTGCTGACTGCAAAGGTGGGAAGGGGAATAGGAGGACGTTGCTTGTCAGGACACAGGACGAGTGTTTCCTAACATGGCTATTTGTTACATAAACCACAGAACGGGTGGGGGTTGAACCCAAGGCAAGTCCTAAAACTCCAGGCCAGTGTGTAAGCCACTTGGCCAGCTGGCCGTGTTATTACGATTTTATGAGTTATTTGTTACTTGTCAACTTATTGACCGGTGGGGCATCCACTGGTTCACCACAGCTTGGTTCCACCTCATTTAAAATAAACAAATGACTAAAACAAAGGGACACCCTACGATGTCTTTTGAGCAAACTCAACATCCAAACTATGGGAAAATTACTTAAAAAATGCAGCATTTATGAACAAAAAAATCTGCAATACAGATGTGTTAGAAACATCACACATGATGGAAATCACATCATGGGTGAAATGCCAGTGTATAATAAGACTCCACAGTGTTCAGTTCCTGGACACACTATGTGCCTCTCTAATCTTTGGACTACTGCCCACTTAATAAGATATCACGAGATCCCCAATGGAAATAAGTCACTCCGTCTGATTTTTTCAGGTTACCATGGTGGGTAATTTACACACGTTATTATGTATGATAATTGAACTTACGTGTACTTGTACCTAAGTAAACTTAATGAGAATAGGCTACCTGGAATATATCTGGAGGGTGTTTTGGGGGGTCAATGCCCCTGCAGCCCAGTCCATGACCAGGCCTTGTGGTGGATCAGGGCCTGATCAACAAGGCTGTTACTGCTGGCCGCACATAAGCTGACATACGAACCACAGCCCAGCTGGATAGTTTTAAGCGTTGGATAAGAAATATTCACACACTATGTTGTGACCAATGGTGATAATAAAAAACTTAATGTAGTGTGGAAAGAACAAGGAGACAAAGCATTCTAATGGAAGTCTACATAATAACATCTACTTTGCTTTTACTTAATACAAGTTATTTACACTGTATATGTATACTGTGCTGCACTATATGACCCTCGTAGGTTCAGCGCTTAATTATGATTGTAATAATAATAATAATAATAATAATGATAATATGTATACTGTATGTAAAAATGAAAAACAGAGCAAACCAGATCTACTCCTTATAAGTTAACAAAAGCTGTATAAGAAAGAAAACATAATATAACTCATCATCCTTAACCCTTAAACTGCTCAAATGTAGATCTACGTTTGTGCGTGTAGCACTCTGAACGTAGATCTATGTTCAATTTTACATTCTTTCTTATGTAAAAAAAAGCAGATCTACATTCGGAGTGCTACGCGCTCAAACGTAGATCTACATTTGGACAGTTTAAGGGTTAAAATATACATAATGCATTCTTCTACAATAAATAAAATAAATCATAAAAAAATATATAGTCAGGCTTTTAATCCATGGTTATAGTTACTCACTACATCAAAGATGAGTTGACTCCTAGTAGTATAATTAATCTAAATAATTTTATCTTACAAATATTTCTAAAATTAGTTGTCAGTAAAACATTGTTAATAGTACACAATAGGTGTGGTACACTGCATTACATACAAGCCTTTGAAGATGGACTAATGAATGTTATAAGAGAGGTGAGGTTTAGTGTATGAGTATTGGCCACACCCGAGCTAAACTGCTCCTTACTGGGCTGACTGTAGTGGCTCCAGCACTCTTGTGGCTGGTGGCTTCTTGCTGCACTGCAGGTTTCTCAGTAGTGCTAGCAACATCTTCTTGCACTGCCTCGGCAAGGGCAGCTTCGACACTTTCTTGCACTATCTGGTCTGTTGGTGTGGAAACTGGAGAGTCTGAAGGTGTGCAAGTGAGGGTTTGAACAGGTACTGTGGATGATTTTAAGGATGAATCAGGTAATATTGTTTCTGTTGCACTCTGTGTATGTGGGTCAGAAGTTACTAAATCTTCTACATCACTAATCGCTACTACTGTGGTGGCTGTGGAGGACTCGTCTGTGGATACTGGAGACTGTTCTGACCGAACCTCCTCTATTTGTACAGGTGGACGACTGGTTGCAATCTTTGACTCATGGTGGGGCTCAGAAGTGTCTGTGGTTGCTGCTGCTAACAGCTCCAGTGCAGCACGGGTGGTGGAGGCTGCAACTGCTTCTGCAATGGCTTCCAAAGAGGGACTAATTGGATGTGGCGTTCCTTCACTGGCAGCTTCCATGAGCTCTCGTGACAGCAGAGTCTGTGTAAATGATTTAATATTGCTGTCTCTGTCTTCCTCAGGTAAGCGAGGTGGTACTGGGCTATGTGGTCGTGGTGGCATAGTTTGTTGATCTGGATCAGTTACAGTGTGGTGTATGCTTGCTTCTGGTACTGCTTCAGTAATGTCCTTTGTGGTACATCTTATTCCCTTCTCTATGTTAGCTTCATCATGTGTATGATGCACTTCATAAGAGATAATCTGATCTGATGTTAGAGTGCTAATGGAGGGTGGTAATGGGGAAGATAAAGGTGCGGTAAATGTCTCTATTTTGGATTCCTTTGAAGCTTTCATATCTAAGTCTTTATGCTTTACTGAATCATCACATTTGTCCACTTGTTCTGGTGTGTCTTTTGGTTTATCAGTGCTTTGCTTCTCCTTAGCAGATGTTATAGTGCTTGATGAACTAGTCCCAGCTTCATCACGATGCTCCAGTCCTAAAAATGCAAGACTTACATGACTGGTTACTATACATGGAACAGCTCCAGCCTCACTAGCTTCAATCTCCACATTCTGCATTGGTGTTGAGTCAACCACTTTAGTATCTTTTACCAAGAGCTGAGTCTCTGAAGGCAGCAGTGCATCAAGGTAGATTTCTGTGACCTTTTGGGATTGAACTGGGCCGTAACTCCCAGCTCTTGTTTCCACTCCATCTTTGTCATGGCGGAAAGAAGTATTTAGACCGACAACGGTGATCCCTTGTTCTACATCAGTTTGTGTACTGTGTTCTTTGCTCTCAGCTACAGGAGTTGGAAGAGGTAAAGCAAACGATGTTTGTGTTCCCTGACCTCTAACTTCAGCCTCAGACGCTTCATCCACATCTCCACTTGGCTGACATTCCACAGGTGCCTGTGTATCAACTGCAACTTCTTGAGATAATTCCTTGCTGTTGACCTCAAGAAGAGGTTGATTTTCTTCAGCAAATGAAACAAAGTCAGAAATATCAGCTCCAGTCTCTGTTGTCTCTGAAGAAACTTCTTCTGCCCCAGTCTCACTGCTTGGAGGAGATTCTGAAGGTAGTTTAAATGTTACTTCCTTTACTACTGTACCCACAGGCTTCTTACTAAGACCTTCCTCTTTAAGTGCACTGACATGTGGAGTACCAGTCTCTTGATCTACAGCAGCCTTAGGAGAGGAAGTGGAATCAGGTGTAGCAGCTGCAGTTGGAGTAGTACTTTCCTGGGGTACTGCAGTGACTAGTTCTGTCGGTTGAATAATATGTATTGGTTCTGGTTTGGCAACTTGCAATGGCTGGACAGGTTGAGCCACATCACTTCCTTGTTGTGATTCAGAAACCTGTTCTGGCTGTGTTGATGCAATAGCTTTGGTGCCTTTCTCTTTTTCTACTGCTTGAGGTGATTGAATTACTTCTTCCTTCTGATCTGCAACTTGGGATGGTTGAATCTCTTCCTTCTGTTCTGCAACTTGGGATGGTTGAATCTCTTCCTTCTGATCTGCAACTTGGGATGGTTGAATCTCTTCCTTCTGTTCTGCAACTTGGGATGGTTGAATCTCTTCCTTCTGATCTGTAACCTGGGATGGTTGAATCTCTTCTTTCTGATCTGCAACTTTTGATAGTTGAATCTCTTCCTTCTGATCTGCAACTTGGGATGGTTGAATCACTTCTTCCTTTTGATCTACAGCTTGGGGTGCTTGAATCACTTCTTCTCTTTCAATCTTCTGCTCTGGTTGCACAGGCTGAGCCACCTCTGGTGAAGCAGAGTCTATCGGCACTGCCTCATTTTCTTTTCGTGTAGAATCTAGAGACAGTTGATGTTGCACTGTAGTCTGTACTTCCAAAGGTTGAGCATCCTTTGCCTGAACATTGTGAGGTACTGAAATATCTAAGGATCCACTTGCTAGTTCGGCATCAGTCGTCATTTTTGCTTCTTCAGAAGGTGATACTCCACCTTTAGTCTCTCCCTGTGGTAATCCTTTAATCTTTTCTTCTTCCTCTGGTGTAGGGTGTTCTTCGGTGCTTTCTTCTGCCACCTCCTCCTGGGTCTCACCAGCCTCTACTGGTAGCTCTTTGTGAGCAGGTGAAAATAAGGCTTGATTTTCCTGGGATAAAACTTTAATTTGGGGCTGATCATGTAATTTAGTCTCCTGGTCACTCGTACCATCCTCTACATCCACTACAGCTTCTACCACTGGGATTTGGGATTTAATATTGTCTACCGCTGCTTTCAGGGGTGTTATATCTATTTCTACATTTTCAGAAGGCAGAACAACATCTACAGCAGTGGTTGGGGGTTGGGGTACATCTACTTTCACCTCCCGAGGCACAACCTCCTCATCCTCAAGAACCTCTTCCTCGGAGGTTGAGTTGTCATCTACATGAGCCTTTAAATGAGGCTCCTGCACCCTCCCAGCCTCCAACAAGGGAGCCCCATCTACCAAAACCTCCGAGAAACTAGACATCTGGTCTACCTGGAGCTCCTGCAGGTGGCGCTGGAGGGACGTGGGTAGAGAAGTGTCATCACTAAGCGTCGTTGTCAGCGCTTCGCTGCTGTAGTCTTCTTCACTTGTTACATCACCCACCTCTTCCTGGACAGGAAGATACACCTTGAGCTATGAAAATGATTGTAACAGTCAAATGGTAATTTTTAACACATAAGCCAACTCCCACCAAGGCAGGGTGACCGAAAAAGAAACACTTTTAGCATCATTCACACTATCACTGTCTTGCCAGAGGCATGTAGATATATGTTCATTGAAGAATTCCAGTAGTTATGCCTTAAAAGAGAATAGTAATGTTAAGGATGGGACGATTCCAAAAGTTTGGCTAATACCAACAACATAAAAATTAACCAATACCAATATTTTGGCACACCCCTCAGTAACATTACAGAAAAATTTCCTTATATCAATGGCACAGAGATTAAAATTAATATATCCTATGAAGATGCCTTATCCTTCCCCACATGCCAAAATTATGACAATAATTATATCTTGTAATATAAAAGCAAATAATAATCTCAAATCAATTCTAGATGTGCAGGTGCATCTCAACTTATGATGGTTCAACTTTACGATAGTACAAAAGCAATTACTTTGGAGATGAAACTTAAGATAATTACCCAGCATGAAGGTGGCAAGTCCCTAACTTTTATTCATTTTACTTTTCAATACTGGTATTTAATTATAGTAATTATTTGTTTATTTACTTATTCAGTGACAGTAGTTATTTACTTATTTATTTAGCATATCACATTCATATTCGACTTACGGTGGGTTTGATGGAATGTAACCCCATTGTAAGTCAAGGAATACAGGTCCACATCCCTTTATCCAAAATTCTGAAATTCGAAGGGTTGTTTTTTTTCTGGAGTGTGGAGTGTCAGTCATCTCTACATAACTTCAACGCCGCTACATGGCGGTGTGACCCATCACTCACAGCCAGAGTGGCAGGCATCAGTTGTGTCTCAGCACTTGTAGTATTCATGCGTGTATCTGCTGTTCACTGATATTTTGTTTTTGCTTTTTATTTTGTGACTGTGTTTAATTTCACTGTGAAAATGTCAATACGAGCTGCAGATACCCCTATGGGTAACTGTGAGAAAAAGAAAAGGAAGCATCTGACACTATCAGTAAAGAAAGTAGAGTTACTGCAGAAGCTTGATCGTGGTGTGTCAGTGTGGCATCTTACTGAAGAATATGGTATTGGAACTACCACTGTTTATGATGACACTTGAAGAAGTCTTTAAAAATGCTGTCTGTCAATCGTCTTGAGAATCATGTTCCTAGTCTATAATTATCCAATTGAAGATTGAGGCACTTATGCAACATATGGGAATCTTTATTCAGGAAATGTTTCGCCACACAGTGGCTTCATCAGTCCAATACAAAGCAGAAGGTGTAAGGAGAGGAGGAGTTTGAGGTAATCAGTCCCTCAGCCTGGAGTCGATGTGTTCAGTCCATCAATCTTGTAGAATGTACAGCATAGGGCCATAGATGTGGCTTATATACTGTAGTCAGGTGAGGTGAAGCAGGAGGAGGCGGGGTCATAGTGGTACCATCCACTAGTCGAAGTAGGTCTTTATCCTAAGGTTGGACAAGTGTTGAAGAATTCTTTGCAAAAAGATCCCATGATGCTGCATTGTCTGACAGTTGTGATGAATAAAGATTCCCATATGTTGCATAAGTGTCTCAATCTTCAACTTTGTAAATGAATGGTTCAGAGAACCGACATGTTGATAAATTAGACACATGTGCAACTCTTGGGTATCTTTATTGAGGAAACGTTTCGCCACACAGTGGCTTCATCAGTCCATACAAAGGAGAATCTTGAAGAACAGGAGGAGAATGAGGTAATCAGTCCCTCAAGGTTGAGGGACTGATTACCTCATTCTCCTCCTGTTCTTCAAGATTCTCCTTTGTATGGACTGATGAAGCCACTGTGTGGCGAAACGTTTCCTCAATAAAGATACACAAGAGTTGCACATGTGTCTAATTTATCAATCTTCAACTTGTCGGTTTTTCAAACCATTCATCACAACTGTCAGACAATGCAGCATCATGGGATCTTTTTACAAAGAATTCTTCAACACTTGTCCAACCCTAGGACGAAGACCTACTTCGACTAGTGGATGGTACCGCTATGACCCTGCCTCCTCCTGCTTCGCCTCACCTGACTACAGTATATAAGCCACATCTACGGCCTTATGCTGTACATTCTACAAGACTGGTGGACTGAACACATCGACTCCAGGCTGAGGGACTGATTACCTCAAACTCCTCTCCTTACACCTTCTGCTTTGTATTGGACTGATGAAGCCACTGTGTGGCGAAACGTTTCCTGAATAAAGATTCCCATATGTTGCACAAGTGTCTCAATCTTCAACTTGTCGGTTTTTCAAACCATTTATCACAATTATCCAATTATTTATCAATACATGTATATTACTCTATAAATAAACCATTTGTAGTCTTTATTTATCCCACTTAGTGTGAGTATTCATACGTTTTTGCTGCAGTGCTAATGTTTGATTATGGGGTGCTGCCCTAGACCCCACCTTCATTCTGAAATTCGAAAGATTCTGAAATATGAAACACTACTGGCCCCAAGGGTTTCGGATAAAGGGATGTGGACCTGTACCTACATTCTTATTCTCATTTACAGAAACTCCCCTACACACGAACATTCGTGTTGTGAGCTTTCGGTAATACAAACACAATTTGTTTTATTAAATTTATATTATCTCACCTTCTATTTTATTAAATTTATATTATCTCACCATCTGTTTTATTAAATTTATATTATCTCACAGTCTGCTTTATTAAATTTATATTATTTACAAAACTTTATTATAAACATTATCAACTTTATTTCATTTATAACACATTTTGTTTACTAGCGTACAGTATGTATTTTTCCTGTGTTCGTGTATACTGTATACGTACATGTATTGGACTTACAAACATATGGACTTACGAACGACCACTCGGAACTGAACCTGTTCGTAAGTAATGGAGACTCTGTACTAGCAATCGTAAATTAGTGTTAAAGCTGCCCAAAATGCCTTGTATAATGAAGGTCTTTCTATAAAGTAATTTATACATGTCAGTCACACTAATTGTATTATATGCTGTACCCCACTTTATTGAAATAATTTTTTTTCCTTTGTTACTGTGGAGGCTTTTAAATGCATTATTGAATTTTGGATGCACTTTTCCAATTGCATTTACAAAAAATATTCACATGGTCATTTTTTTAGGAATAGCTGAAAATAAAAATGGCCTGAACTACTTTCCAAAATTTTTATAAATATACGTGTAGATCCAATTTAACAAGACCTAGAAGTACATAATGAAAAACTAAATTACTATCGGCATTTTGTCTAAATTAAATACCCAACCAGGCAGTGGTTTTAAAATTAAATACCCAACGAGGTAGCGGAAAAGCAAGAAATTGAAAAATGTTTGCTAAAACATTATTTTATTGCATATTTTGACCAGAAGCAGACTGGGTGTACTGGAAGATTGGGTGTACTGGAAGATGGGATGTACTGGAAGACCGGATGTACTAGAAGATTGGGTGTACTGGAAGATTGGATGTACTGGAAGATTGGGTATACTGCAAGACTGGATGTACTGGAAGATTGGGTGTACCGGAAGACTGGGTGTACTGGAAGATTGGATATACCGGAAGATGGGGTACTGGAAGATTTGGTGTACACTAAGGGCCACTTGCACATCAACAAGGTAGAAATCATACCATACACAAAATTCTACAATAATAACACGTGACATGAAGAACAATTGGAGTGCACAAAGAACAACTGGAGTGCATAAAGGATAACTGGAGTGCATCAAGAACAACTGGGGTGCATAAAGAACAACTGGAGTGCATAAAGAACAACTGGAGTGCATGAAGAACAACTGGAGTGCATAAAGAACAACTGGGGTGCATAAAGAACAACTGGAGTGCATAAAGAACAACTGGAGTGCATAAAGAACAACTGGAGTGCATAAAGAACAACTGGAGTGCATCAACAACAACTGGGGTGGATAAAGAACAACTGGAATGCAGGGAACATGAACAAGCTCAGCATGATTATAATTCCCATTACTCCCTGGAAAGACAATACAACTGAGATCTGATGTACATGCTAGCCTGACTGATGTCTGGTGTACATGCTAGCCTGACTGACGTCTGGTGTACATGCTAGCCTGACTGACGTCTGGTGTACATGCTAGCCTGACTGACATCTGATGTACATGCAAGCCTGACTGACGTCTGGTGTACATGCTAGCCTGACTGACATCTGATGTACATGCTAGCCTGACTGACGTCTGGTGTACATGCTAGCCTGACTGACATCTGGTGTACATGCTAGCCTGACTGAGGTCTGGTGTACATGCTAGCCTGACTGAGGTCTGGTGTTACATGTAGCCTGACTGACGTCTGGTTTTACATGCTAGCCTGACTGACGTCTGGTGTACATGCTAGCCTGACTGACATCTGATGCACATGCTAGCCTGACTGACGTCTGGTGTACATGCTAGCCTGACTGACATCTGATGTACATGCTAGCTGACTGACGTCTGGTGTACATGCTAGCCTTTACTGACGTCTGGTGTGCATGCTAGCCTGATGGGGCTGGTGTACATGCTAGCCTGACTGACATCTGATGTACATGCTAGCCTGACTGAGGTCTGGTGTACATGCTAGCCTGACTGACGTCTGATGTACATGCTAGCCTGACTGAGGTCTGGTGTACATGCTAGCCTGACTGACATCTGATGTACATGCTAGCCTGACTGACGTCTGGTGTACATGCTAGCCTGACTGACGTCTGGTGTACATGCTAGCCTGACTGACGTCTGGTGTACATGCTAGCCTGACTGAGGTCTGGTGTACATGCTAGCCTGACTGACATCTGATGTACATGCTAAACTGACTGATGTCTGGTGTACATGCTAGCCTGACTGACGTCTGGTGTACATGCTAGCCTGACTGACGTCTGGTGCACATGCTAGCCTGATTGACATCTGGTGTACATGCTAGCCTGACTGACGTCTGGTGTACATGCTAGCCTGACTGACGTCTGATGTACATGGTAGCCTGACTGAGGTCTGGTGGGACATGCTAGGGCCCGATTGACATCTGGTGTACATGCTAGCCTGACTGAAAGTCTGGTGTACATGCTAGCCTGACTGACGTCTGGTGTACATGCTAGCCTGACTGAGGTCTGGTGTACATGCTAGCCTGACTGAGGTCTGGTGTACATGCTAGCCTGACTGACGTCTGGGGGTACATGCTAGCCTGACTGAGGTCTGGTGTTACAAAGCTAGCCTGACTGCGTCTGATGTACATGCTAGCCTGACTGACGTCTGGTGTACATGCTAGCCTGACTGACCTCTGGTGTACATCCTAGCATGACTGAGGTCTGGTGTACATGCTAGCCTGACTGACATCTGGTGTACATGCTAGTCTGACTGGCATCTGGTGTACATGCTAGCCTGACTGACATCTGGTGTACATGCAGCCTGTGAAGTCTGTGTACATGCTAGCCTGACTGATGTCTGGTGTACGTGCTAGCCTGACTGAGGTCTGGTGTACACGCCAGCCTGACTGAGGTCTGGTGTACATGCTAGCCTGACTGACGTCTGATGTCATGCACCGACTGCGCTGGTGTACATGTGCCGACTGACCTCGGTGTACAACCTACCCGAGAGGTTGGTGTACATGCTAGCCGACTGACATTGGTGTACATGCGCCTGATGGGTTGGTAAATGCTACCGCTGACATTGGTGACATGCTAGCCCGACTGGCTCTGGTGTACATGACCGCTGACATCTGGTGAAAATGCTAGCCCACTGGGCATTGGTGAATGCTAGCCCGACTGACATCGGTGTACATGCTAGCCTGACTGATGTCGGTTACTTTTAGCCTGACAGACATCTCTTCAGAAAAACAACTAAATAAAAAAAGTACTAAACTCATCATGCTTATTAAGCAGGGCAGTCTATGTCTAAGAAATTATATTAACAGGTACTCCCTTTACTTTTAATGGGGTTTCGTTCGCCAAACTCATTGTAAGTTGAAAATATCATAAGTCAAATGTGAGTATATGATAAATAAATAAATAAATAACTTCTGCCACTGAATAAATAAACAAATAATTACTGTAACTAAATAGCAATATTGAAAAGTAAATAAATGAATCAAGTTAGGGACTTGCTGCCTTCATGCTGGGTAATTACCAAAGGTTTCAACTCCTAAGTAATTGCTTTTGCACCATTGTAAAGTCGAAATATCATAAGTCGAACTATCGTAAGTTGAAGAACACTTGTATATTTATTTATTTATTTATTCATTTCGCTAGTAGGTCTTTCATCGTATTTACTGAGCACAAGGAACTGCCCATTCAACTATCTGAGTCACCCTATAGAATGACAGAAGTAGGTTAATTTGCCAGTTTTACACAAAATTCAACAAATTCCAATCTAAAAACAGTCCAAAATAAACAGTGTAGGCATTCCAGTCACCAAGGCATCCATTCCTGTGTTCGTTAATCACATGCCCAGGCCTCTCCTGTATAACATTTGACCTCCTTTTTTGAATCCATCATCACACAACAAAAGTTTTACCCTATTTCTTGGATAACATAATATAATCAAGAATTCTTCCTCCGTAAGCCATGCGTGTTGTAAGAGGTGACTAAAATGCCAGAAGCAAGTGGCTAGTAACCCCTTCTCCTGTATATATTACTACATGTAATATAAAAAAAGTTTTTTCTTATATGTCACCCTGCCTCAGTGGGAGACGGCCACTGCGTTAAAAAATCAAGAATGATTAGTTATGGTTTAGGCCATCCCAGTAATTGAATCAGGTCTAAATATTCCTCAGGAAAATCACCAAAAAAATCAAATATTTCTGACACTTTGAGGCCTACGTGAAGCTACTGTGCTTCTGATCCGAAACCGACCACTATCCCACATCCCACTATCAAATCTGATTATCACCCTAAATAGCCTATGTCTAAATGTCTGTGTCTAAATGTAACTATTAGGATTAGTTTGCTCGAAATGCATTGCATACTAGTGGCTTTATTTTGTGCCTACCAATGTTCTACTGTATTTAAACTATATTATTTGTACTGCAAAAAGAAATAAAAAGTGTATTGTAGTGTACTGTATTGTATATTATTATCATCTCATATATTATGATCTTCATATGCTGTATTGTATATACAACAAATGTATCTTACTTTTGGATAATTTAAATTTGGCAAAATTTAAGAAATGTAAATAGCTGCATTTTTAATGCATAAGATAAATTCACTTGATGGACAAAGAGGGAAGAATACTTCACACTACAAACTGAAAACAATAAAATAGTCATGCGGTGGCAACAAGGTGACTGGGCAACAAGGCATTAATGTGTGGAACATATGGAACCTTTGGTTTGCTTGTGGTGGCAGCCGCTGCGGCAGCAGACTCCATGACACTGTCCAGGCCTATCTGTGGAAAGAGACAGCCAGTCAACAGGTTAGGTTAGGTAAGGTTTGTCAGAGAACAGGACAAGTGTTTCTTGATGTGGGTCTTAGTCACGTGATGACCGCAGCTGGAGATTTTGGTCATTTGACCAAGGTCTTCTGCTGGCTTACCTGTCCATCCCTTTAAAAATTTGTGTTATCAATTTTTATAAGTTTGCCAGTGAACAGACAGTGGGCAGGTTTCACAATGCTACCCATACACAGTTTCAACTGGACAACTCTGGAAGTTTTATAGAGGACAGGCTTAGGGGCGGCAGTCTGGTTGGAAGTGGCAGCTAGGGGACTTGTCTCAGAGCAGCATTATTATTTTTATTTTGGAGGCTGAAAGAATTTGGGGCTTCAGCCCCTTCTTGGGGCTGCCACTGGTGTCAAAGCCATACTGGAACTCTGGACAGAACTCCTTGAATGCAAATATTTAAACAATGTACAGAACTATACTCCAAACACCACACTGGGTGCCCTGATGCTAGTGAAGGAATCTTGATCCAAGAAACTGGAGGCTACCCTCCCCATACATGGATGAAACCTGATTATCACCCATTCCCCAGGTACTGTATGACCCCCACAGGTTTAGCACTTATCAGCAAATATACTGCAATAAGGTGCTGAAGATTATTAGATATTAATTTAGCTATCAAGAAGAAGCAAAAAATTTATCTCTTTTTAGAAAAATTATAATCACAAAACTGAATGTTTGATGGGTAGTATAAGCAAGAACAAGTGTTTTAGATGGAGATGTTAGATAAAACACTTGGATATCTTAATGCAGGGGTGCAACTGTGGGCTGCAAGTGGCACATGGGTTGACTATTTTTGTGGCCCACAAGCACTCATATTATTATATTGATTTATTGAATTTTCTTCTATAAAAAAACATTAAAGTATCTGCGACACTAATGTGTCACAGATACTTTAATGTTTTTTTTACTGACATAATAGTAACTTGACTGTAACTTAACATGATCATTTTCTCTAGTCTGTAAGCCATTAATTTAGTCTGGCCATAATGCCATGGCATGATAGTGGCTCTTTGCACTGCACCTCATTATTGTAACTACAGAATCTCAACGTAAACTTGCAAAGAAATAAAAATTGTATTTTGTTGTATAGTCTATGTCTAATTCTTAAGTAATATTTAAGCATTAGGATTAGTTTGCCCAAAATGCATTGTATGCTAGTGGCCTTCTTTTGTGCCTAACAATGTTTTATTACATGTATATAAACTGGTAGTAGGTTGGTAGACAGCAACCACCCAGGGAGGTACTACCGTCCTGCCAAGTGAGTGTACAACGAAAACCTGTAATTGTTTTACATGATGGTAGGATTGCTGGTGTCTTTTTTCTGTCTCATAAACATGCAAGATTTCAGGTATGTCTTGCTACTTCTACTTACACTTAGGTCACACTACACATACATGTACTAGCATATATATACACACCCCTCTGGGCATTCTATTTTCTTTCTAGTTCTTGTTCTTGTTTATTTCCTCTTATCTCCATGGGGAAGTGGAACAGAATTCTTCCTCCGTAAGCCATGCGTCTTGTAAGAGGCGATTAAAATGCCAGGAGCAAGGGGCTAGTAACCCCTTCTCCCGTATAAATTACTAAATTTAAAAGAGAAACTTTCGTTTTTCTTTTTGGGCCACCCTGCCTTGGTGGGATATGGCCGGTGTGTTGAAAGAAAGAATATAAACTGCAGGACACCAATGGCAATAAGTCACTTTAGTCTGACTTTTTTGGGTTATCCTGGTGGGTAATTTACACTATGTATGATAAATGTACTTATGTGTACCTGTGCCTAAATAAACTTACTATCTGTGCACCGCATTAAAAGAAATAAAAATTTGAATCTGAATTTGATAATCTTGTTATTATTAGTGAATTTCTTACACAGTCATCCTTAGGATAGGTTCATCTTGTCATTCTACACATACAGTTCATTCTACACATACAGTTGTGTGTGTATGTGTATAAACACATGAGAATTACCTTTCTAATTTCTTAAGTGTGAGAATTATCTTTCTAATTTCTTATGAGTGAGAATTGCCTTTCTAATTTCTTATGAGTGAGAATTACCTTTCTAATTTCTTAAGTGTTTCCTTTCATCTTTTTGGGTAAGCGGAGAAGAATGCTTCTTCAGTAAGCAATGCTTCTCAAAAAATGCAACTAAAATGCTCGGGGCAAGAATATTCGCTACTTTGAGAATCTGCATTCCTCAACGTAATGTTGTCAAATGTAAAAGAATGCTTCATATGTCGGTTTGCATGCAGCCAGCAGTAACAGCCTGGTTGATCAGGTCCTGATCCACCACAAGGCCTGGTTATGGACCATGGGGGCACTGACCCCTAGAATACCCTCCAGGTATACACTGGGTATACACCAGGTATACTCCAGGTATACACACTTAGTAGACTATAACCCAAATAATTTTTCCTATAATCATGTACATACAACGATATATTTAATCTACTTACATTTGCACTCATCAAATGCTTGTGTACATTTAATGACCTTAAATACATATATGTAATGCTTATTGCCCTTGTAGTCTGAAGTTAGGCTTAAGCTTTCCCAAAATGCTCTGCATAATAAGAATAATAATAATAATCTTTATTTCTACATGTACATGTACAGGGCACACAGGCCTAGCTGACATCAGTGACATACTACTATATAGAAAGCTCCTTGTTATGCAGAGCATTTTGGGTAAATTAGGTCATTTTGTCCCAGGATGTGACCCACACCAGTCAACTAACACCCAGGCACCTATTTTACTGCTAGGTGAACATGGACAGCAGGTGTCTTAAGGAAACATGTCCTAATGTTTTCAGCCATACCAGGGATCGACCCCAGAACTTCAGTGTGTGAGCTGAATGCACTACCAATCGAGCTACGGGACACCCATTGTATCACGTGGAAATAAACTTTGACTTTCTCATATGAGTGTGAGCAAGATAATATTTATGAAGGGATTCAGTGAAACCAGTTGGCCGGACCCGAGTCCTGGAGGTGGGAAGTACAGAGTCTGCACTCTGATGGAGGGATGGGGATATTTGCAGTTCAGATCGTTATCTGTACTGTGATATCAGCACAGTTCTGGTAAGACAGCAATTGAATGAGTGACAGTGAAAGTGTTTCTTCTATTTTTGGGTCACCCTGCCTTAGTGGAAGATAGTCAGATTGTTAAAAATAATGAAAAAAACAATTTAAAAAATCTAATAAAGACCATACAGTAACTTAGTAAATATTACCAAGCCACTACCAATTCTTAAAAATACATTATTCACCTAAATACTTGTTAAAAAAAAAAAATAATAATAATAATAATAATAATAATAACAACAACACATATAGAAGACACCAAAATACAGTGGACCCCCAGTTAACAATATTTTTTCACTCCAGAAGTATGTTCAGGTGCCAGTACTGACCGAATTTGTTCCCATAAGGAATATTGTGAAGTAGATTAGTCCATTTCAGACCCCCAAACATACACGTACAAACGCACTTACATAAATACACTTACATAATTGGTCGCATTCGGAGGTAATCGTTATGCGGGGGTCCACTGTATCTACAGAATAGTACACTATAGTGTAAAACAATTCTTATCACAGAAAATTTAAAAATACATAAAGCAGTCACACGATTTTCGGAATGAAATCAAATCTCACTAGTTATACGGTACTGATTTTCAGCAAGATTACTGATGTGCAAATATTCTTATAGACTGTCTGAAAAATTTTGCCCATGACAAGGTCTGCCACAAACAGTGCTACTGAGAGTTATAACACCATGAATACGTGCTAGCACCATTGTGGTAACATTAACAGCACAAATACATGCTAGCACCATTGCGGTGATATTAACAGCATGATAAATACATCCTAGCACCATTGCAGTAACATTAACAGCATGATGAATGCGCTAATGCATAACGGTGAATGCGTTTGTGCAGTCAGGCTGTCAATTAAGCAAATATGAAATGAATGACTAGAGAAATTGTCAAGAGTAAATTTAAGATGAAAACAATGTAAACGATATGCATCCCTGGCTTCATGCAGTAGATGCATAACAGACCCTTGGCAGGTCTACTTAACTCAGTCACCATTAACATTAAATTCCACATAACAGGAATTTTCAGTATGTCTTGTGAAGTACATATACAGAGTGCATATAACATATCTACACTGCACATACACAATTAGAGATATAATGGAACATTACATAATAGCAAATCTGAATAAAGCAATGGAAACCTGAGTATATGTACAGTGTAGGTGTGTGTATACATATATATGTACAGTGGACCCCCGAGTTTCGGCAGCCTCGACTTTCGTGAAATTCGACCTTCGGTGAGTTTTTTTGGAAAAATTTGGCCTCGAGTTTCGTGAAAAGACTCGTGTTTCGGCAAATGTCCGGTACCCGTCCGCCTGTCACCACGCACACCAAGCCAGTCTCCCACACCATTCACGCTCAGTGTGCCATTGTTTACCAACACGTGACCATCACCCTGTGGGTTCATACAATACATTTCATAATAATCCATTGTTTTTTGTGCTTGCAACTGCTAAATAAGTCATCATGGACCCAAGGAAAGCTATTGCAAGCCCTCTGGTAAATAAAGTGAGGAACACGATCCAGAGGGATTTTGACGGGGATGTGGAAGAGTTGGTGGAGGACCACAGGGAAGAGCTAACCACTGACGAACTGCAAGAGCTTCAGTTGGAACAGCATCAGACCACAGCCGAGGAACTTGCTTCAGAGGAGGAGGAAGAGGGAGTGGATGAGGTGCCTTCTTCAAAGATTAAGGAGATTTGTGCAATGTGGAATGAGTTGCAAAGTTTTGCTGAAAAGTATCACCCTGACCAAGCTGAAACAAGCCATATCTGCAACATGTACAATGACAGTGTTGTGTCCCACTTCAGGGAAATCTTAAAGAAATGCCAGAAAAAGACCTCTCTGGA